AAAAAAGGAAATAGAAAAAAAGTAATTCAGTAAAACCACTTATTGTGACTAGAAGCAAACACCCCATCTTGTTGACATTCATTTTCATGCATCATCTGGTGTCAGTCATTAAAAACAGAAAGCTTGGTGGCAGTGACCAAACTCCATAAACAGCCTTCAGATTATTTAATTCCCCTTTCCCTTCCTCACTCTTCCATAAATTTGCAGTTACGTAACCCCTCACCTCCCCCATGTGAACCACACCAGACGGATGGAGGGAGGGGGAAGGGGTTGTGTAACAACGCTCCTATAGACTCTGCTGCCAGTCCTCATTATAGCTGCAGGCCTGGATGCAACACGGCTCGTTTCCCCCTCCTCAGCAACACTCTTTGTTTTCCTCTGTCATTATACACCTCTCTGCAAGTTACACCTTTAGTTCTTCGCCTGGAGTGACACGTCACGCGTCCATTTAAGCGCTGCTGTTCTCAGACTACAAATTATTTCTACTGGAGCCATGCGATATGAGTGCATCAAGGATTTGTAAATTTCCGTTCTCACTCCAGCTAATGCACTGTGTGCCTGAGAACAAGCTGTGACTTGTCTGTTTGGCTATATTGGTATCCGAGGCGCTCCCGCTGAACACAAGGCTGTAGCTTTGTGCACAACGCTGCCGGGTGTGGGCCACAATAGCAGGTCATCCATTGGAGAATTCGATAGACGATTCATTTATTCTACTAAATGTTCCTCCACAGCAAGCAGTGTCAACTAAAAGCTGGAATTGTCAGTATATTGTAAAGGCACACATTCATAGGAGGCTGTAATACAGCTTAATGATAAAGTCAGGGAGGCTGGTTTATTGTGAGAGCACACCGTCTGATATACTCCCTGTACCCTCTGTGTTAATCCTCAGCTTAAAGCTATGAGATAACCTTTACAGTACACACAGGCCTCTCAATGAAATCAGTGTGCAACTCTTATCACACACACACACTCACACGGCCAGGCCTGCAGGGCATATCGTGTCCCCGAGGAGAATAGCTTCAGCAGGGGTACAAGCTGCATACTTCACATCTCCAGTGAATAAAAGGAAGTATTTACACGTGATAAAAGCCAACCTAAGGGCACAGGCATGTGTGCCCTCAGCTCTGCTCCACTGTCTGTACCAGCCAAAAACCATGCTCAGCAAATACCTGCCCTCCTTTGTGAAGCAGTTAAACTCCACCGTGGTGGAGTCTCGCTAAGGAAACATTGCACAACAAGCTAACTCAATAGGAAATCTACAGTTTATGCAACAACTGGCCAATAAAAATAAAAAAAAATAACGGAAAATTACTAAAGATGACAACTTTACATTGACTGGAGGCTTACGCTGAAATCACGGCTCAGCCCCAGCAGCCTATGGAGGCCTGCTTACCCACAGAGAGCGTCGGTGGAGAGAGTGTACCAGTATACTACACAACTATGTAGTATAACTGGTCTGCGGGCTACTCCTGGTTATTCTGTTATTGGTCCATCAGCTCAGGACAGAGTAGAGGGAAGTTACAACATGAAAAGAGCTGAAGTGAAACAAAGTGTCAAACACATTGAGAAGTGACCACCACAGTCACTGCCTGTGCTTCTCCCAGTCCCTGTGAATGTCGCCACGTGTCAACCAATCGGCATTAAACTGACACATAGGTCATCCGCAACCAGGGACATGCATCCGGGATTTTGGACGAGTGCACAGGAGCACGTTTGCAATGGGTGAAACCCTGTCTTTTTACACCGTCCATAGGGAATTGCATACACAAATTAATACAACCCCCTTAAAAGAACAATATGAGGCAGGACTCTAGCACATTATCAGCTGGGGCAAGTTTGGTAGTAGTGCACTAGAGTTTATGCTTGGAGGGTTATTAGCTTTTAAAAAAAAAAGATATTGGCTAAATGTGCAAGTATAAAGTTTTAGAATCACTACTATGCATCAATGCAACAACCACAGAGAGAGAGAGAGTGTGGTGTCAAGGACATTTCTCTCTTTGGTAAAGTAACCTGGGAAAATATTTGTCATATAGGATTATCCTTCTGTCTCTCTTAATCTACGATGGCTCCCAAATCAAAAAATGGGAGATTGTCAGAAGGCTGTGGCTGAACTGCTTTAGACATAATCAGGTGATGACAACTCAGCTTATGTTACTCACAGCCAAAGGAGGTACTAATCTTATGTTTTCCATTTTTGGGTTTGCTTCTTGAACGTCTCCAGGAAACAGTCCCAGAGGAGGCCATTAGAACAAAGACAACTACCTCACTCTGTGCCACACAAGCACCACTGCAGGGCCTTGCACCACAGATGTGACATACTTAAACAAGCCCAAAAGGTTAAAAAAAAAAAAAAGTCCATTATTCAGAGCATAGGATGTTAGGGAAATGGCCTGATCAAGAGAATTAAGAGGAAGGCTTTTCATTGGTGTTTGAGTTTAAATATTTCTGCTTTGCATATTCCTTTAGCTTCATGATCTATTCATGAAGTCAAGTGATTATTTGAAACCATTTTGTTTTGTTTTTTGAGTTAATATTAAAATACAGAATTTTTTTTGAGTTCGGTAGAAGCCTCAACTACCCAACTGTAGCAGATTTAAAGAAACTATAGCACATCCTATAAAAACTGTAGGACATTACAATTGGGTGAACCTGCGTCTTCATTTGTATTGACTACCCTGAGCTACAGTATTAGGCTAAGAACTCTTTAACCCTGGAGAACCCATGGAGTCAGATCCGACCCCATTGGTTTACTAGGGAACCCATGGGGTCAAATTTGACCCCATGGGTTCTCCAGGGTTAAAAAGATCTTCCTGTGTTTCCAAAAAAAAATAAAAAAATAAATAAAAATATGAAGCTAAAACTAGAGCAGCGTAAGCGCTATCAGAATCAAGTAGAGACCTTCCAGTGGCGTTATCATCAACAGTGGTGATAACCGTTATCTTCCAGATAGTCGCATACACATAAAGTTACCAATAACATACACTGTTCAGTGATCATGTTGCCCCAGTGGCCAAGGTCATTTATCTAATGCAGCTTTCAAATATTTTATAAATTATGTGCACAAGGTTCTAAGGCTGTTTGTGTGTGTTCGTGTTCCTGTTTAGCCATCTTTGTGAGGACCGAAAGCTGCATTCTACTATACTTGTAAGAACCAACAGTCACTTGTGAGGACACACACACTGGTCCTCACAAGTTGGAAGGCCTTTTTGAGGCTCAAAATGTGGTTTTAGTGTCAGGGTTACAATTAGGTTATGGTTAGGTTTAGGATAAGGGTTCGGTTGAGGCATTCATTTTTAACGGTTAGGGAAACCATTATGTCAATGAAGGTCCTCAATAAGATAGTTGAACGGGCGTGTGTGTAGTAAATTCGAGTGCATCCTATAGATTGTCATTCATGAGATTTATTGATTTGGTAACTGCAATTAGAAATTCTGCTTGGAGGTCAGATTCTTCATCGATTCCTGATCAATTTCCTGTGTGGCTAAAGCAGCTCAAAAGAATAAAAAAAAAACAAAAACAAAAAAAAACAAAAAAAACCCCAAAACAAAACCATACCATCACTAAAAACTGATAAGCCTGAAGTGATATGACTGAACAGTTTAAAGCTGGTTCACTGTTGTGAGTAGACTGCATATGCAGGCTTTCATGACACGTAGCCCAGCTCTCTATATTTTCTGATCTTTGATCCAGCCTGTTGAAGTGGTCTGCTTCAACAACACTTCTGCAATGCGACATGAAGATCAACTCCCTGCTGAGTCACAGAGAACCACTTGAAAAAACAAGAAGACCGGACTCTCAACACCGATTTTCAAATAACACGGTAGGAGAGACATCACCACTCCACACACACACACACACACACACGCTCTTTAGTTGTTGTTAGATGGAAAATGACACATCTAGATTTGTACCAGGCTGATTTAACTGTGATGCTGTCTGATTTCGATTGAATTTCAGGTTAACAGAAGAAAAAACAAAAACACACAGAGGGGCCATCCAATGCTTCTCACCTTAAAACAGGAGCAGCCCGGCATGCAGTGAGAAATCACAAATACAAGAAAAACATCAGAGTCCACATTTACAGCCATCACGCTGCAGCTGGTCTTCTTTTAAGCATTGCTGCAAGCATTCAACTACAAGGTCTTGAGCTTGCATGCTAGATTTACTGCCTATGTTCATAAGCATGTAGGGGGAGGATGAGGATTTTTTTTTTGCCGTTTTGTCTAGATCATCAGAACCCTCTGGAGGGTGCCATTTATTTTTTTTTATTTTTTTTTTTAAATTCTATTTGCAAGCTGCATGAGCTTTGCGATGAAATGGCTCCTGCAGGACAGCACTAAAATAAGAAGCCTGCTTTCAGTGCTGTGCTTGGTTACCAGACGGGCCTCTGGCCTTGGCGTCGCATCTATCTTCAGGCCTTGATGCTGCAGCGGTAGCAGGAGCACTGTTACCCATGCAGCTCAATGGGAGCCTATTACAGACCTCGAGGCTGCGAGGGTGTTGCAGTTCAAAGAAAGGTGGACATTGATGAAAATGTGCAGGTTAGACTTCAGAAACATGTCCATAACAAACGTCAGTAAGGAAACCACTCATAATTAAGAACACCTGGTGTATGATTGTAAAAATACTTTCTGGACTGGAAACTATTAGTTTATCAATAGAGAATTATTTAGCAACAGCAGTTATTGATTAAGGGTTTCGATTTGTTCATTGATCCATTGCCTCATTTGTTTTTTTTTTAAAATTCATTTTACACGTGAAGTAGTAGCGTACAAATCAACAATGAAAACACTTATTTAAGAATTACACTCGTTAATAATGCAAGAGAATAGTAAAAAATATAATTACTAAGTGGAAACTGCCGTTTGTTTTGTTTTTTTAATTATAAACACTTCTGCAATCCAACCCTCATCAATTACATCCCCACGTGATAAGGGCTAAAACATATTTGTTATATATTATCATGATTATTGTTGATATTAGTATTTATTTTACATTCTGAACTAATTTGCTTAAGTTGGTTAATTTTACGCCACTTTTCTACAAAACTAGCATAGAATTAAAAAAAAATATATATATATATATGCAGGCCTTGCTTCCAAAATTCAGGCCGCTATATGACTTCATTAACACGTGTAGCTTTTTCACGTACTCTGCGGCTCCGCCTCTCGATGTCTACGTGCTTCGGGACAGCTACACCCTGACGGGAAACAACCTCGTCACAGCCCTCACCCATCACCGCTGCCACCCACGTTTGTACCCGACAAATCACGCATAATCAAGCACATGTAAAAACTGATAGCGTCGATCTGAAGCGAAGGAAGGCGCAACAGGCTCGTCTCCTCCACTTCCATCCTTGAAGGTCATCACTTCTGCGCCCTTCCTGTTGCGTACTTCGATGATGGGGCCGAAATGCGCAACTCTAAAACGACTGTTTTTGAGAAGGTGATAGACTTTTAGGAGTTGTCTGTCAAATTGAGATGACATAGCATCAGTGATACAGCTAATGACGCTGTTTGTTCATTTATGGCTAACAGGCTAGCTTTTGGAAGATACAGCTAGCTGTAGGTTCAGTCAACAGCATCACATCCGCATCACCATCAGAATGACAGCCATCATGGCTGACGCGCTCAGTAACACACAATAAACGTTTAAAATTTTAACAATTTTTGGATGAGGTGACTCTTACCTGCTGATAGAGATCAAGTGAGGTGTGCGCAGAGGATGCGGAACGGTCTCCTGTTTCACTGCTGCAGCGCGACGTGACCTTTTAGAAAGCCTGGGCGGAGCTTAAACCAGGCGTCACGGCACGAAGCGACGGGGCGCATGCGCCGCAGAGCTCCAGAGTGATTGTGCATCTTTTTTTCTTCTTTGTGGAGACAGTTTGTCCTCTGTTTTCTAAAAGTACCAAGGTATTTATAGATGATGATGGTAAAATTGACAAAGCGATTGTGAACAAAGGCGGAACTTCGCCTCCTACAGTGCAAACTGTTCAATAAGATAAAAATAATTTACTTTAATTAAATAAACTCTGTATTTGGTGAGTCTTTTTTCGTCCTAGTGCTAAATAACCTCTGAAAATGATTAATACTCATGTTTTGCGGCCTAGTTATAGACAAAGCTGAGTGAACTTTTATGACTTTCACATATGTTAGATTTCTATTCATATTATTGTTTATGGTATGTTCTGATACTTCGGTAATGTAATTTGTTGAGAGGTTTCTGTAAGGCATTTGAATTTAGCATTAACAATAATATGACCTTAAAAGGAATTTGTTTTCATAAGTTTTTCTGAGATGCTGAGCTCCCCCTGGTCAAATGCAGATCTGCACTTGGTGATTTTCCCGCATACCTCTATTTTAGTTGTGGCCTAATATACATGCTCCATTTATAGTGCATTTTGTACATGTGTGTTGTTTCTTTCTTCTCACTTTGTGTAAAGATGACACTGTTGGTGCTAATGCCAACTTTCTATTTTGTGGTCATAGAGGGATGGACACTGTCAGAGTCAATGCTCAGCTAGGCTGGGCTGTTTAAATGATGCTCAGTTGGTACTAATTTTTCTTTTGCTAGCACATGGTGTGTCTTCTGCCCATCCGCTTCAAGGTTCAGTGTGTTGTGCGTTCAGAGATGCTCTTCTGCATACTTTGGTTGTAATGAGTGGTTATTTGAGTTGCCAATGCCATCCCGTCAGGTCTGATGTCAACACTGCATTTTTACCCCAGAGAAGTGCCGCTCATTGGATATTTTCTCATTTTTCTGTAAAACGTAGAGATGGCTGTGTGGAAAAGTCCCAGCAGATCAGCAGTTTCCAAATTACTCAGACCAGCATGTCTAGCACCACTAACCACACCACGTTCAAAGTCACTTTAATAACTTTCTTCCTCATTTTGATGCTTGGTTTGAACTTCAACAGGTTCCACCCTGACAGAACAAACCAGCAGAACTTTGTACAGTCAGAGTTTAATATTCCATCTGTGCTACATGGCAATTACAAAAATACATCATAACATAACATATCAAACATCAAAGAGTATTAAAAAAAAAGTCATATAAACTTTATAAACAGGAATATATACACATCAGCATTCGGTGACCAGAAATAAAGAAAGGTCAAGGATCACACACGAGGCATTCTGGGCACACATTAGGGCATACTTTACAAAAATAAATAAATAAATAAATTACATTATAATCAGATGAGCAGGTAAGTGCATAAAGGTGAGATTACTGGCAAGGGCTTACCACATCCACAGACCGTAGAAAAAGCCCTGTATCGATCAAAATGTTAAGTGGAGGTAAACGGTACTGCTGTTCCAGTCCCAGCTCTGATCTGCACACTTTTGTACAGCTCTTGGAGTCAAAAATCAAGGCTGAATGGGAAAACCACCAAGCGCTCCCCTGAGACATAGGTTATAAATGATGAAGCTAAATAAGGTGTTGAAGGCATACACATTTGTACCTGATACTGTGTCACTTGCTCGAGGAGATGATGTAGCAAAGGTCAGGTTTGGGGAAAGGTCGGATCGTGGCATGAGCAAAGGTACAGACTATGTTTCAAAGTAAAAGTTGCACAGATTGAGGCAACGAGTCTTCCATCCGCTTCTGCTAAAATAACTGCAACATCTTGCAACATGAAAATAACAGCAGAGATTTTGAAATCAACTAACCTAGCTAAAAGGATAACTATGGTTTGCACACTTAAAAGAAAAAAGAAAAAATTATTATGATCTATAATATTATGATCAACAAGCATGACATTTCCACAGGGGGTAAATTTCACAGCATTTGTCCACTATGTATTAACACGGCAGCCATGATGGTTTACTGGAAAGTGGATGCACAATAGTGCAATCTTTCTTGCACAACTGTTGGGCAAACAAGTGTGCAAGAAACTGTGCAGCCGAGAAAGGCAAACACATAAAGGAAGAATAACTTGTATTAAGCACGTCACAAAACATAAAAGTCATTGAAATATGCGTGGAGAAAAAAAAAAGGTGATTTCCATTAAGTCAGTAATTTTAAAGTTTAGAAAATTTTTAAAAGCGCACCAATTCAAGGGTGAACAAATGTGCACAAGTGTGCTTTTACACTGTAAACTCAGTGTCTGTCAAACAAACACTTCTCTGCGTGGACCTTTTTCCTGAGCAGGATGCAGTGGGAGTGCTGGGCCAGGCAGCGGTACAGCTGTGTGAGTGTTTGCGCTGGGATCCTGCTGCGAGTGTGGCGTGGCGGGTGGGCTGAGGAGCGAGTCGTAGTCGAAGCCTTTGAGAGGCTGTAGGGACAAAGTGAGGCCTCGTCGAGCTTTGGCCGCTCGGTCCGGTCTCTCCCGCAGCTCCAGAATCACCTGACAGCAACAGAGAGGAGAAGTCAAGACTCATGCTTCAGCTTACAGAGGAAACAACCAAACCGAGGACATTCAGACGTCTCGTCTGTTACCTCCATGGGCTGACGCTGCAGTAGGTCGAGGTCAAAGGTTGATCCGCGGAAGAAGGTTTGCCGCTGGAAACGATCAAGCGTCCTCAAGCGACGCGAGGGAGTCTTGCATAAAAGCTGGACAGGAAAATGTGCAGATGATGATCTGACCGTTCAACTGGCTCGCTGCTTAGCAGATATACAATAAATGATTACCTCTGTTATTAGCAAGGCCAGTGGGGAGCTGAGGCTGAGGGGCATCTCATAGGGGAAGCTCCTCACTTTCCTCAACATGCTGCAGTGGTCTGGTTCAGGAGCCACGGGGAACTGACAGAGGGAAAATTCAGGGGATGATTCATCTTTTGCTACTTTGATAGATTAATACTTCAGCATGCCAGAACATTAAATGAACACAGTCTTTCATGCTCATGTGTCACTGAGAGATTAATCGAACTGCTGACCGTGCAAACAGGCAACAATAGCTAACCTTCCCAGTAGCCAGTGAGAAAAGTAGAATTCCCAGTGACCACCAATCAGCTGCATGGTTGTAGGGCCCACCACTCAGCACCTCAGGAGCTGCAGAGGACAGAGAACCCTCACAATGTTTTTCCATTCATAAATTCACCTCCCAGTAAAACATAATTAGATACGCTCTAAATGCTTCCAAATCCCAGCATCTGCAGCTGTGGTGGGATGAGCTGCAGGGGAGGTTAAGAGTGGATGTTTTCCTCACCCATATATTGGATGGTTCCACAGATGGTAAAGGCTCTTCCCCCTCTCTCCAGGCGACGAGACAAACCAAAGTCAGCTAGCCGGATGTGTCCTAGAAAAGATCATTTTCTCTATGTTATGATGAGTATGAAATCCCAGGCTTTTTTTTTTTTTTTTAACTGATACAGGCTGGATTTTTCTTTGTATCATAATGCTCCCTCATAGTTTGCAGTGATAGGTATTGATTGATAGACGTGCACAGCTCTGTTTTCTAGAAGCTTCTGTGCTTTTCCCTCATACCAAAGCTATGCTGCTCTCTGCTGGGGATAAGATTTACTTACCATTGTCTGTCAGCAGGATATTTTCCATCTGCAACAACAGAGCAAAATAAATAAATAGGTGGATGAGATTACACTCTTGCACTGAATTCTTATGCCACACACCGTGTCTGCCATCGGATTACTGCGAAACACTGATGAAAGGAAACCTGTAGCCTGTAACAAAATATTAAAACAAAACTCTAAATACGGTATCTGATAAAAACACAAAGTATCAAACAAATTCTACTTCAATAAAATATTTTGTGGCAATTTAAACATTTTTAATGCATTGTACACATTGTTGTGTTCATGCATTGACTAAAAAACAGGAATGAGCAGTTTAGAAACTTTTTAGTAAGTATTCAGTATTCAGCCTTACAAAACCAAAAACAGCCTTTGTACGTGTGCATGATGGAAAAGGAAGCTGAGCTTGCTGTTCTTATATGAGACGCAAAAGTAGGGCATCCAGCTGGAAAGGTTTCAGAGTTAAGACAAAAACTCTTCATGATAAATGTTAGGCTTGCAGCATTTGATATCCTTTATTCTAGCCTATGGTATTCCTATGGATACCTTACTCCATCCATGGGAATGAAGCAGCTAAGTAACAGCCTGATAATCAAGTGCACTTGATTAGCTGATATGCAATGCTTGGAGAATTTCCCAAAAACCCATTTCAGACTCTACAGGCCTCAGTTAGTATGTTAAATGTTAAAGTTAATGACAGCACACTTAGAAAATAACTGAACAAGTATTTGGAAGGATTGCTAGGAAAAAGCTTCTTCTCTAAAATAAAGAAGCATTGCTTAGTTTTGCAAAATTCCATCAAAACAACGCTTTCTCAGCATTCAAGATTTCTCAAACAATGCCTGGAGTGACCGAAGTGGAATATCAGCAGTAAAATATCAACTGTCAAACACTGCGGTGACAGAGGGCTGATTTGGGCTTGTTTTGTAGTTATTGAATCAATAATGAATTCATCTGTATACCAAAGTATTCTAGACACAAATGTGAGACCACATGTCTTACAGCAAATCTACAGCAGAATGGCTGAAAAAAAAAAGAACCAATGAGCAATGTCAATGTCCAAGGTGGTGGGACCTTAAGAGAGCTGCTGTGAACAACTTCCCACAAACATCATTAAACTCAAACAAAGTTGTAAAGAACAGTGGGACAAATTTCCTTTCACAATGATGTAAAAGACTGAGGACTGCAGAGAGTCCTGTGAAAAACCTTGATATGAATATGTGTTGCCTGAAATGATCTAGATGCCTGTGCTTAACATAGGTTTTGTGTCATTGTACAATTTTTTTGGTTTTTACCTTCACATCTCTGTGGATCACCCCAAAATCGTGCAGAAAGCCTGTAAAAAAACAACAACTAGTAAGCAAACAGGTTTCAAATCCATGTCTTCGTACTGGCAAACTGAACCATTCTGACTTTGCTGTGTTGCTGGTGGAGATCCTTAGAGAGCTCATCTGTTTTTAATAAGACCACCTCTGATAATTACTTCCAGTTAAATAACTGTGGAAACGACGCTTTGAGCTAATTAAGATTTCTGAAGGGAAAAGTCAGGCTTACAGTACGGATGAGGGTTCACATCTTTCATTTAATTAGTAATGTAATAGCATACACACCAAGCGCACATCCCAACTCTGCAGCAAACACTCGCACCGTGTCCTCTGGGAACTGACCAATCATCTGCCAGTAGGTGTAGAGGTCTCCTGTGCTGCAGTAGTCGCACACTGTTGGAGAAGAAACAGGATCAAAGCATGCCTCTGTGCAGCGGTGCGAGATGTGACTGGGAAGTGAAGGTCAGCGGGAGGTGGAACACAACACTGCTCAAGTTAGGGAAGAGACAAGAGTGAAAACGGTCTTTCTCTAGGAAGCAAGCAAGGTGGAATTTTAAGGCTGGCTGCCTTAATGGAGCATGACTTTAAACTGCATGTGTGTGCGTTTGTAATAATGAATCACCACACTGTAACTGAGGATAGCCATATTTATTTAACACTGTTACATAAGGCAACATAACAATTAAGCAACTGTTTAACCTTAATTGCTTTAAAATATCTGCAGAGATCTTCATCGGTTTGTTGTGGTGACTTCCATGTACTCTACATTTCAGGCTCAAAAAATATGTGACTCAGTGATGATTCACAGTATGTTCAGCATCTGGTTTTCGGGGGCTAACTCGTTCTCTTTTTGCAGGGGGTGGAGAGGCAAACAAAGTGGGTCACACTTTCTGAGTCAGTGGCTAATTTGGAAAAAGAGGGTAAATGCTCAGGAGGAAAGAGGAAAGAAGTCGAAGAAGCTACACGATGCAGAGGGAGTGGTAGACTGGGGTTGCAGGGCTGGAGGGTGTTTGATAAAGGTGCGATTAAACGTGGGGTACAAGCTCAAAAGACCCTGAATTTTAAAGTCTCGACGGGAACCTCTTTGCCTTTTTTTTTTTTTGTTCATCGTGTTGTAGGAGCTGGGTTTGGGTGGGGCTGTAGGTAGATCTTGGACCTAGCTGCCAGTTTTGAGGTGAGAAAAGGTGAGGTGAAGTAAAGGGAGAGTGGATCTGGGTTGGATTGGGTCACCGGTCTCTGTCTGACTCACTAATGTAGACGTGGCGCTGTGTCTGCCAGCAGTCCTGGAGGTCATGGACAAATGGGTGGCGCACCTGACGCTGCAGGCAAAGGTCAAAGGTCAGCCCGGAAAAGCTCAACCGACCATTGTTTCTGAGAGATCACGTCACTCAGAATCGCATTAACTTCAGACTTTACAGGGACACGCCATTTTTGTGAGAAGGCAAATAAACATAAATGGTTCATCACCATCACAGCAGATTTTTTCTACCTTCTATCAACATTTCTAAAGTTAAGAAATCAAAGAATAGCACAATATTTACATGAGATCTTATCACTTATTAACTGTTAGCAGTAATTATCACTCACTGACTATTATGTGTACTTTAGAAAGCCTTGGTTTGTTGAGTGCTAACTGTATGAAATGCAAATATAGTGCCTTCGAAGTTAACACAAAACCCACCTGGACTACAACTTCTTCCTTTGACTGCTCCAAAACCCCGAGTCTTAAAATCTCTGCTTTAGGTATGACCTGTGGGCAGACACAAGATGAAATCAGGCCACTGTAATTATAAATGAACCATGAACACAATTATCTCACAGCTTCAGTTTCCTGCAACAGCCTGATTGGTATTTATGTTAGAATTTAAACGCAGAAAACCTATATGTTAAAACCCAGATAATCAACACTCACTTTAACAGCATATGTCTTCTGTTTGACCTTGTCCTTCACTTTCAGGATGGGTCCAAATGAACCTTTGGCGATGTAGCCCAACACCTAGTGAGGCGAGAACAATGCAGACACAGATACAATGGGATGGTGTCTAGTTAAAAAAAGAAAGAAGTAAAAGCAGAACATGAGGAAGCTTTGTTCAATCATAAGATGCATGATGTGGCGCTGGCGTTCAAAATGACCCTCACCTGAAAGTGTTCGTGGCCAGGCACAGTTCTGTGGGGGAATTCGGGGAGGAACATGGTAATAAACCCCGGCAGGCTCCACTCCGCTCTCAGCTTGTGGGGACCAACTCCTGCCAGCCTCAAGACGTGGTCAGGGATCTCGGGGGCTTTGCCCTGGAGCATTCGACGCTGGCCCAGATGAAGGGCAGACGGGGCAAGGCGACACAGGCCCGCTGGGACAGACAGGCCAATGTTTGAGAGGAAGCCGCGCCATCCAGAAGATAAGTGCTCATTCTCCTGCCCTTCGGAAGGCCTCTGTTGGGGAAACAAAAGATAAAGACACAGTTTTGTAGATGCTACAGAAGAAACAGGATAAAAAAAAACATTTAGATTGTCTGTTTTTATTACACAAACTCCTGGAGAACAAAAATGAATAGACTGTTCATTCAGAGAGTGTTTTACGCAAGGTTAAGTACCAACACTTATCAAGGCAGGCGTGCACTGCTGAAAGCGCCCTTCTGCTTTCACTTGACCTTTTGGAAACTAGAACACACAAAGAAAGTTGGCACAGGACAACCTGTACTGAAAAATGCTTTGTAAAAATACAGAAGAGAATTGCCTAAATGCTGCTCTAAATTTACAGACTAAGTCCAAACACAACTTACTGTAGCAATAACTTGAATTAGTCGTATTCCGTATGACTTTATCAGTCTCACACGTTGCTGTGGAGGAATTTTTGCGACTTTTTCTTTGTATCGTTGCTTCAGTTCATTGAGATTTGCAGGCATTCATTTATGAACAGCACTTTTAAGGTCCCACCAAAGCATTTCAATCAGGTTAAAGTCTGGATTTTGACTGGGTATTGACACCTTGACCTCAAATTAGACTGTAATAAACTTGGGTATAAGAGGACTTTGTGGTCAACTCAGCGACTGCAAAACAAGCTCAAATCATCACCCCTCCACCGACGTGTTTGGCAGTCGGTATGACGTGTTTGTGATGTTACGCTGGGTTTGGTTTTCATCTGTCTAAAGGACATTGTTCCAGAAGTCTTGTGGTTTACTGAGATTCAGCTTTGCGAGCCTTAGCCATACTTGCAAAAATGTTTTTTGTAGAGGTTTTTTTTCTTAGTAACCCTCGCAACAACTTCGTTCAGTCTTTTTTTCTAACTTTTCCTCCTTTATTTGTACTCTTTGTTTAACATCTACAGCTCTTTTGTGATTCTGTATCTTTTATAGTCTCTCTCTCTCTCTCTCTCTCAAACACACACACACACACAGCACTTTTGAATTTTATCTTAGTGTTTGTTAAAAAAAACAAAAACAATGACACATGTATCTGGGGTTGTATTTAAATAATTTTACAACCTGCCATAGATTTGAAAGACAGTACACAGTATATACTTGATTTAATTTATAAAAGGTTGCTTTCCTAACGATTGTGGCTTACTGTACAAGACATCAGACTTTGCTATAATACAGCCCCATCTTCATCCCTCAAATGCCTGAGTGGAGCCGAGTGGTACAGCATTTTCATGTAACCATTCCTGCTCTCATATATAAAAACACTCCCTGGTCTGCATCCAAAGTGCAGTCACCGGGTCAACAAGCCCCCTCCCCGTGGACATCTCTGCAGCTATGTAATGCAAGATGCGCGTAATCAGCCATGCAGAGTGTCATTATCATCCGAGCAAAATAAAGGGGCACATCTACTCCGCTGTCACTCTGCTAAACAGCTTCGACCAGTGACCGCAATCTGGGGAGTGTCAGACTTTTGTTTGAAAAGTGACGAATTTGCATTCAAAGTGAATGGTCTCACCCCATATATCGTAACGTGGGAATAACACATTGTAATACTAATTGGCGACTTTTCACCGTTACGCAACTTCAGCACACTTTTCAGGTCCCAAGAGATTGCGGAACCCCGTCACACAGGGAACCCCCACCCCCACCAAAGCACGTGCCTTACACCTTAGCAACCAGATATCCAACTCACCTTCCTGTTCTTACTGCCGTCGGCCCCCATCTGTGTGACAGGACATCAGCGCAGTGCCCTCATACCGACGTCTGCTCTTCATTTAGCCATCCGCGCTGTTCCGCAACCTCTCCACGAACAACGGTGTCGGGCTGCACGAACACAACGCGTACCTTTCGCTAACAATCTGCAGCTGATCGGGCTACGCGGTGTAAAATGTGACAGATATGGCGATATAAAGAAAACAAGTTAATCCCGCGTATGGGCAACGTCAGCGTAAATCCGCCCCCATCACTACCGTCCAATGAGAGGCACGCTTCAGATCCCTGTGCTGCTGCTTGCGGTAATCAGAGCCTCACACATCAATTATACACGTCGGTGACAGTTTCTGTTAGGTTTGCATCATTTGCATTGGCGTGACTTGTTGTGTGCACAAAAGCAAACGTGTAACAGAAAAGCCTCCTGTATCTCCCGATACATTTTTCAACCCCCCATTCACTTGTTCTAAAAATAAACCCATGCATGCATAATATGTGCTGTCTTAGCATGTTTGGAGGAAATGTGAATGCTGAATGCAATTCATTTAATTAAAAATGCTACAGCGGGAGCACTGATACAGAAAAGGAGTGCATCTTTCTCCCATACTGGCTTCTCTTCACTGATTCCCTGTTAAATCCAGAATCAAATTTAAAAGCTGTATCCTCACAAACTAGAACCTCACAGTAAGATCTCACAGTATCTTATCACCCCATTTTCTTCCAGTGTGTTTTTTGCCGTGTTCCTCTCCTACCCTGCAACCCATTACAGCAGATGGCGACCACTTCCTCAGCCTGGTTCTGATGGAGGGTTTTTCTTTCCCACTGTCACCAAGTGCTTGCTCTTTGGGGATCCTTTATTTCTGTTCATATTTTGAGTTTGTTTTTTAGGAATTTTGTAATGTTCTTTAAACACTTGGAAGCATCTGGTAGGTTAATTAATTGTGCATATGTCCTATATTAGATTAGATGCTGATCTGACTACAACACGTGGGGTTTTCTCTCTATTATTATATCTTTAGTGTAGAATATGGAGCCCTTGAGGAGACTGTTGTGATTTGGCACTATATAAGTAAAACTGAATTTAATGCATGTTTGTATCATATCAAGAAGCAATGTACAATGTTGGCCATTAAATATCATGGGAAACACACAGCAATTTGAAGCGTGGTAACAGTACATTTTCTTGTTCCTTTTGAGTCTCAATATGTGATGAAACAAAGTTAGTGATCATATGAAGTACCAAAGAAGTTTATAAAGCAACGCTGGGCAAAAAGTAAAAAACAAACCAAATAGTGACAGCACAGGTGCCTTTTATTTGGGACTGAGAACATAAAAAGCAAAACAGAGCCATTGGTATGATTTTTTTTTAAACTTCTGTTACCAATGTATGGTCATTTCTACAAAATAAACCAATAAACAGGTGAGCTTTAAATAAGTAGAAAACGTTTGGGAATCCATGTCAGAGCGTTCAGGGTTAAAAGGAGCATCTGCTGGACATTTTAGTCGTCCTCATCAAAGTCTTTCTTTCCCTGGGGAGGTTTGGGTCCTCCTGCTGGTTTGGCCATGATGATCTACAAAGGAAGAAAACAATCATTTCATCATAAGATCCATGCAGCTGAGTGAGTGGGCTTTATGGCAGAGTGGAAGCACATCACCTCTGACCTTCATAAAATAATTGATAGACAAACATTAACCACAGCATCCAAAATGTGTTCAATCTTAAACTGCTGTGCTTATTTATAAATGAGGGGACTATATTTTCAAAGTAAAAAAAAGACCATTTAAATCCCTACAGATATTCCAGAAGTCCATTTATAGTGATTAAACATTCATGAGCACACGTGGGAGTATGTTGTGCTTTAAGAGAAATTCTCTACACAGGAAAATGTACTTGTGCACAAAACGTGAACACTTAAAATCAAATAAATAATTAAAGAAAAAAAATGAGCTAAAGAAATAATAATTAAACTCTGGGTCAGTTACTTAAGGCACTTCATGTTTCACAAAACATCTTCAACTACGTCTAAACTGAATTAATCTTCTCTTAAAATAGATTAAAAAACAAAACAGTGTTTGATTTGGTACTTGCACTCACAAACTGCTTGCGCATGCAGCATGCTATCACACCACACACACTATCTGCTCTGTGCAG